TCCCCCTCCTCTCTCTCTCTCTCTCTCTCTCTCTCTCTCTCTCTCTCTCTCTCTCTCTCTCTCTCTCTCTCTCTCGTGCATGTGAGTGCTAGGGCCTGCCTAGGAGTTGAATCTGCCTGGAACTGGAATTACAAGTAGTTGTAAGCTTCCCAACATGGATGCTGAGAATTCCTCTGGTCTTCTGTAAGAGCAGGAAGCACTCTAACCACAGGGCCATCTTTCTCTAGCTCTCTGCCTTCTACCTTGCTATAGGAGCCCTGAGATTATAGGTGCCACTGTGATCGGCCTTGACTTGGATTTTGTTCACACAGCAAGCATTTCTGCCAACTGAACCATCTCCCCAGCCCTCATCTCCACTGCTTTACTCCTCTTGATAATTTATTCAGCAATCAAGCAAAGTAGGGGCTAACATACTTGCTCAGGGTCCAAGCATGGTCTTGATGTGAACACAAGAGGCTAGATCAAGAGCATTGATGTAGGACATCTCTGTTCTGTGTGCTCTGAACGGAGCCGAATGGTGACTACATGAGTAGATGAAGGATACGACCGTGACTACAGCGCCCCCAGACCCTAATTCATCATATAGGCTCTGGGCCTCACTTTGCATAGTAAATAACAGCTTGGACGGAGCGACTTCAGTGGGTCTCCCAGCACTAGAAGGAGCTTTAGCCTTTTCTGTTCTGCCCTGCAATGGAACGGAAGCTAGATCATCTCCCGGACCCTTTGTAGTCTCCCTGTGTCCCTGGGAAGAGACCCAGGGTGCCACAGGGGTGGGTCAGAGTCTCTTGGGAGTCCTTCAGGGTGGGTCTCGGGAGGATTTTCTGCTGTCCTCCCTGAAGACCCCGGTGAAGTTCTTTTTGGTGCTATGACTTCATGCCTCTCTGGCAGTAGCAAGGGGGCAGAAGGCAGTTTTAGGATAAGAAACTGGAGCACTGAAGAGTCTCCGTTCTTCTCACCCGCTGCTATTTCTCTGGGCTTCCTTGAAAAAGTTACATAAAAAAACAGACCTCGTTTGTCTTCCCCTCTGCTGTCACTCATCTGTCACCCTGGCTGAGCCTCTCCCTTGTGCACCCCAGAATCCGGAAGCTCTCCCCTCCCAACGTGGTTTTCCTTAGGAGAACTGCTTCTGGGGACAGGCCCATAAGTGTCACCTACTGCGACATGAGAGAAAAGGCCCAGCCTCCATCCCAGAATCTTCCTTTCAGCATGGAGGGAACAGGGTGGTCCTCGAAAACATCTGATTCTTTCCTTCAGAGTGGGAACAATGAGGGAGAAGCCGGAAAGCTTTCAAGGCCGTTCTTGGCTTCGTAGCAAATTCGAGGCTAATCTGCAAAATATGGGACCCTGTCTAAGGAGGAGTGGACTGGAGGGGACAGGACCCGTCAACTTTCATAGAGTGCCCCACCCCCAATATGCAACATACAGAGGCGGATTCCCCACCCATCACCTCCAGGGACTCTGGTTGGGGGATTTAAAGACACCTCCGCGGGATTTGGGCACCCCTAAACTGCATCCGAGAGTCCGAGGACCCCGTCCTGGCCCCGCCTCCCGCCGGACGGCGCAGGACGCGGGGAGGGGAGCTGGGGGCGAGGTCCGCCCCGACAAGGGGCGTGTGGCCCGGGCCGCTGGCTAGCTAGCGACCGGCTCGTAGGGGAGGGCAGAAAGTTCGGGTCCCCGACAGACTGACTTGAGAGCCGGCGCAGCGAGCAGCGGGAGGCGGCGGCGGCCGGCAGAGGCGCGGCCGGGGCATGGACAGCGCGGCCGCCGCCTTCGCCCTGGACCCGCCAGCGCCCGGCCCGGGGCCCCCGCCCGCACCCGGTGACTGCGCCCAGGCGCGCAAAAACTTCTCGGTGAGCCATCTCTTGGACCTGGAGGAGGTGGCGGCTGCCGGGCGCAGGGCTGCGGGGCCGGTGCCGGGGCCCGAGGCGCGAGAGGGAGCGGCGCGCGAACCGTCCGGGGGCAGCAGCGGCAGCGAGGCGGCGCCGCAGGACGGTGAGTGCGCGGCGTGGGAACCGGGCAGGGGCAGCGGGACTCGGGCTGCGGGACTCGGGGTTAAGGGACCCCTTCCTTAAGGAACTCGGGCTGTGGGGTTCACTGGCTGCGGGATCCACTAGCGCTGGAACTTTAAGTTGGTGGAGTCTTGTGAGACTGTGACTGTGGGATTACACGACTCCAAGATCTCAGCTACAGAGACCCATGAACTACAGGATCCTGGCTGTGGGATCCCTGGGTTGTGGGACACAGAGTTTGCGAGACTGTGGCTGTGGACCCCAGCTACAGGGACCCCGTAGCTGCAGAATCCCAGCTGTGGGCACTGGAGGACTGGCTTGTTCTCAGCGGGAGCCTCGATTCCAGAAACCGCAGCCCAGTGGTGAGCTGCTGTTCTTTCTTCGGAGGAGACCCTCTTTGAACCAGATCCACTTAAGGTCTTGAGGATGTGTGACTTGGGGAAAGCTGGTTTCCCTTGCACTCCATAACCACCTACCCTCAGAAGCTGGCATCGTCGCTGTTGGGGGAAACTGAGGCTGTGGAGGGGCCGAGCCTCTAAGCCAAACTTAGTTTAGGACCTTTGAGCTAAGACAGGTCTTCAGAGGGTTTGTGGGGGGGTGGGGGTGGAGATATCTGCACAACCACACCCTTCAGTTTGGGGTGGAGGAACTCTCAGATGACAGCTAGCTAGGCCTGGTTCCCCTGAAGAGGTTAAAGGTCATCTGGAAGGGGCTTTAAAAATACCACCCCTACACACACACACGCACACACACACACACACCGGATTATAGAGTCTTCACTTCAGCTTTTCAAAGAAGAGGGAGTTACTGGGAAATACAGATGTAGGGGTGGATTTGGGGGAGGTGAGGCAGAATGAGGGCTGAGAATGAAGCAGAAGTCCCAGTTTGGATAGTTTCAGTGAGGAGCAGGACAGTGGGAGGGCCAGAGTCACCAAAGATCACCAAGGGGTTGGAGAGGGGTGTCTGGGGCAAACACTTCTGTCCCCTAGCTCTGAGACTGTACTGTCCCACTGGATGGATGAGACACCTGTCTATCCCCAAACAGTGTGTAGAGAGCGGACAGAGCAGGGGTTGGTACCCACCCCACCCCACACCTTCCCATCCACCTCAAGGACTCCACTTCCTGTGGAGGGTCAGGGTTAGAGGGGTGCTCAAGCAAGCTGAGAGCCTCTGCTTTCAGACAAAAGGGCTTCCTATGGAGTCAGAGGAGACAATGGCACTGTCTCAAAGAAAGGCTGTGAGCACATGTGTCCAGGGACATCCACAGAGCACCTTCTGATAAACCCCCAGTGCTAGCAGGCAGGCATGGTACTCAGCCCCAGGAAGGCCCCTGCCTTCTGTGCTGGTGACCACTTCCCAGCATTTGCAGGGGCCTGGCCGCTCTCTTCCCTCGGGTGTTGGGTGATGGATGATGACTGAGCTGACAGCCCTGGGAGTCAGCTTTTAGATCCTTGATGGAAAAGGAGAGGGAAGGGGGCCGCTCAGGCCAGAGGTAGAGCGGGGTGCCATAGAGCTCGGAGTTCTCTCGTTTCACCTTGATGACTGAGGGGTGTGGGGCAGGACAGAAGAAAATTAAGAAGAAAATTAAGGTGATGGGAGAGAAGGAAGGGGTAGACCAAGGAAGAGGTCTGGTGAGGAAGCAGAGGCACTGGCCCTGGAAGGGAGCAGACAGCACAAAGTCTGACTCCTTTGTCATGTAGCTAGTCCCCAAATGGAAGCCCTCCCCACCCCATAATCCCAGACTGCAAGTGTCAGCAGAGGAGCAAGTGTGCAGATGGTGCCATTGGTGGCCACTAGGAAGCTGGGTGGGTACTGGTGCCCCCTGGAGCCCCAGGATCTGGCCACAGTCCCTGAAAGCCCACAAGAACTGCCAGGCCTTTACTGAGGTACAGCGTCGTGCACACTAGGGTGTTTGAGGACAGAGGGTATGCTAGATGTAGGTAGAGCCAGGCTGGAGACCCAAGGGCAGGTTCGAGAAAGCACTCATCCTCTGCTCCGTGCCTTGGAAACTGCATCCAGATTTGCCCTGGACTATGGTGGTTCAGGGTCACCATGCCAAGCTTTGCTCTAGATTGGAGTCTGCAGAAGGAGGCCGAGGCAGCTTCCTGCTGGTCCCCTTGGGTCCCCTTGGTTAGTTGTCCCTTCTTACTGCCATGGATTGGTGGCTTCACAGTACCAAGGATTCCAAAGATAGGGGAGGAGGGACCTGTCTTTTTTACATCCTGGTGAGCCCAGAGCAAACTGCTGGAAAGAGGTATCAGCTGGGGGGATGAGCTTCGAGCCCTGGGGTGTACAAGGCCATGGTTCTGTCCCCAACATAGGAAGGAGGAAGGAAGGGAGGAAGGGAGATAGACTTGAGTGCCTGGACTCGACCCCGGGGGAGCACACATGGGCCAGGACTCACCCCCGAGGCAGCACACATGGGCCATGGGCTTTACTGTTAACTCTCTAATCCTGAGCCTTCAGCACTTCCAGGACACAGACATTCTTGAAAACCAATCTTCTTGTGGCTTCTGTGGAGTTTTTTCCCCCTAATAGTTTATTCCCCCCAATAGAAAAATACAGGTTATGGGGGCTCAAATGAATAATAACTCTTATTTTCGTCCTGCTAATTAAACAAAACAAAAACAAACCAATCAAACAACCACCACTACTACCAGCAACAAACTACATTTCTTTTGTTTTTGAAAGCCACCAGTAGATCCAGCCTAAGTCTGCCAATGACTTACCAAGGCTTTGCTCCCTCCCTCCTCCCCTCCCCCCCAGAACTGGCTTTTTAAGCTGTGGCTTTGCTAGTGACTCAGAACAAACCAGGGTCTCGGGTTCCTTCTGAATCAAATGCTGAGCTATGCCAAGCACGTTAGGAAAATAAACCTGCGTTCACTGCCTTTGCGATGGCATACAACAAAAGAAACCACATTAATAACCTCGAGTTTCTTTAAACCATTCCCTCCTGTGGCCAGGGCGGAAACCAGGCCATGGACATGCTGAGAAAATAAACATGGCCCCAGGAGCTAAGCAGAGAGGCCTGAGTCAGGACAGGCTGGGCCCTGCTCAGAGCTGGTACCTGTTTGGAGAAGCACAGGACTCTGGGTTGCCATGGGGACTCTCAAGAGGATCTGATGTTGGGTGCCGGGACACCTGAAATCCAAGGACTCAGGGGAGCTAGGCCTTTGTGAGCTGAGTGGCAGTTGGTAATTGGAGTGAGCCTAGGTTAGGTGGAGGACCTGTTCCTTCCCCTTGACAAACAGAACCATGGGGCTACCTGGAAATGCTGGGTAATCAGTGGGTTTCAGAGATTAGTGCACTTCAGCCCGTCTGCAGTGTGGTCGTCGGCATCTGGCTCAGTTTGTTCAGAAAGCATCTAAGCTCATCCGTGTATCATGTGTCCACACTTCTTTCCTTTTCAAGGCTGAATGATATTCCACTGGATGGACAGATCATATTTTGTTTGTCATTTTTCTCATGAGCAGACATGGGTTATGGGTAGTGGTGCTGTGAATGTCAGTACAGGTTCAAAGGCTTAGGATTCTTTGAGGTTTGTTTCTCTGCATGGAATTATTAGGTCATGTGGAGTCAAGCTGGAGACCCAAGGGCAGGTTCAAGAAAGCACTCACCCTCTGCCCCGTGCCTTGGAAACTGCATCCAGATTTGCTCTGGACTATGGTGGATCAGTGTCACCATGCCAAGCTTCGCTCTAGATTGGAGTCTGCAGAAGGAGGCCGAGGCAGCTTCCTGCTGGTCCCTTTGGTTAGTTCCAAAGATGGCCAAGGGCTCCAAAGATAGGGGAGAAAGGTTCCTGTCTTTTACACATCCTGGTGAGCCCAGCCCAAGCTGCTCCTTTCACTGTGGGTTCTAGAGAGCAATATGGACATCAAACTGATCTGAACATTGAACTAAGGTTGCCAGGTTTACAAGCAAGTACTTTTATACACTGAGCCATCTTGTCAGCCTGTCACCTGTGGAATGGGACCAAGGATTGTTCCTTATGGGGATGAGGCAAGCCCTAAACAGTTATGTGACACATAGTAGTTGCTCAATACAGAATTTCCAGACAGCTCCATGACATACTTAGAGAGCTTATGGCTCTCACAATTTGAAGGCCCAGAGAGGTGGAGCAACCTGGCCAAGGTCTCACAGCTGGGAAAGGATGCCAAGTTGGCTTTGGGACTCCAAGTCCAGGCCTCTCTCTCCAGCACAGCCTTGTATGTGGGTGAGAGAAGCTACGAGTAGGGGTTTCTGGGTGCTAGGGAGACTGGCTGTGGGGCTTGGGAGCTAAAGAGCTGAGGAGGTGGGAAATGGGACCGGAGGACCAATGGGATGGATGGATGTCTGCTGGCTCGTCCTGGGGAGGGGTGTGATGGTAGGGAGGACTTGTCCTAGGGAAGAGATACTAGGGGACTGGGGATGCTTAGTGGGTGGAGTGCTTGCTTAGCATGCACAAAACCCAGCGTTGACCCCCGGCACAGTGAGTTAGGTGCATACCAGCAATCCTAGCACAGGGGCAGTAGATGCAAGCAGATGAGGAGTTTAAGGTCGGTCTCAGCTACATCTTGAGTTCAAGGTCAGCCTGGGCTACATGAAAACCTGTATCCAAAAAGAGGCAGATTGTGGTTGCTGCCCTGTTGGGAGAGGGACAGGCAGGACTCTGTAGGGATGGAACTGAAGGCAGTGAGAGGCATGTAGGGGGAGTGGCTAGGAACCCAGAGGCACCTCAGCCAAGCGTCACGTGTTGAAGTCCCACCTGCCTTGTCTTCTCTCCAACCCTGTGACTGTGACACACGTCCTTTGACTATTCCCCACTCTGTAGAGAGGAAAACTGAGGCTCAGAGAATACCAGTTATGTGACAAGGTAGCTCACTCTAGTTCCACATAGGATTCTAACACAGGTATGTCCTGTCCCAAAGCCCAATTGCTCAGTCCCAAGTCATCAGTGGAGCCTTGGAAATATGGAAGTGGCCTGACCAGGGCTGCCTCGCATGCTCTGACAGGTGCG